ATATATGCTTGACAGTTGCTGCATAAAGATGAGGAACGTCTCATCTGTGTCTTCCCACGCTATGAGGATGTCGTCAACGTAACGCAAATACAGCCTCGGATAGTGGATGGCAAGCGGGGAATTGAACGTTCTGTGCTCGATCTCTCTCATAATAAGTTCTGCCAGGATAGCAGATAAAGGGGAGCCCATAGGAACCCCTTGCTTTTGTAAATAGATTTTCTGGTTGAAACGGAAGTAATTACACTCGGTGACGAAGCTGAGCGCATCTCGTAAATCAAGCACCTGTTGGATGTTAAAGCCCTTTCTTAGAAGTAGAGAATTAGCCAGCATTACTGCCTCAAAGGTTGGCACTGAGGGATATAAAGATACTACATCCAGCTTGTAAAAGGTGTAGGTGTCTGGCCGTAGTGTACCAATACTTGAAGTGATGGTGGATTTAGCAATTACAGAAGAGGGAGTAACATATGGAGAATTTGGAACTAATGAGCAAAGGAATTTAGCAAGCGCTTTTTCTAAATAATAGGTTGGATGAGACCATTTGTTTACTAGCGGACGTAACGGCCAGTTTGTCTTATGGGTTTTTGGTTGAAAGAACAACCTAGGACACACAACATTAGAGGGGGGGGATCGAGCGACCCAGTTAGGGTTGAGGAAACACCTGGTAAGGCGATGATTCTTCTTGCCTTTCTTAATACCGTCGGAGTAGGGTCCTCACTCATTTCCGAGGAATGCTACTGTGTTAAAAATTCATTGGCCTCAACTTCGTCACCGAGTGTAATTACTTCCATTTCAACATGAGATGTGACAGCGTAAACTGTGTTGTTTTTTCATGTCTGATATTGTAGCCATAATGCGTGTTGTTAACATGTTGGATAATGGGTTCAGGGCTAGGCAGAACCAGAGAGGACTCAAGGAATCTCCTTGAATTATTATTATTATTATAGAAATAATTATTTAAAAAAGTCAATACAGTCGACCCCCCTATAACACTGTTGATTATTCCATTTTATATAAATTTCATGTTGTACGAGTCACTTAGATTTTACAAATACGTATGCCGGGCTGTGAACGGCTCATGTATTTGTAAAATCTAATTGACTCGTACAACATGGAATTCATATAAAACGGAATAATTAACAGTGTTATAGAGGGGTCGACTGTATTATCATTATCTTAATGTAATATATACTTTATTACATGAAATGAATCTGTTGATTGTTTTATCTAGTTACAATATTGAGAAATATAAAAAATTATCTACCAGGCAAACTTGACAAGTTTTTCAATTGTTGGCTAATTGCAAGTACCTGTCAGATTTTTTAAAAAATAATTAAATGATGTGAGAAAGTTGTATATTTTTTAGGTGTAGTATTAATAAACCCTAATTTTTAATCTGAAATTGTGTAAACATGGATAGATGATAATAAAATTTTTAACTTATTTTTAAGTAATTTGATCGAAAATATTAAAAAAAAATACACACATCAAATTTCAAATAGCCATTTGAAGTTTTAATTACACTGCTGATTTCAATTTGTTACTATAATAAAGTTAAAAAGTGACCTGTTTAAAAATAAGATCTGTACTATGCTCCAGCAAAAAGTAAAGAAAAAGGAGCTAATTCTATACTCTGCCATTTGTCCTTTCTTTTAATATGCATAAATAATATGTATAATCCACCTTTTCATTGTTCTATAGGACTTCTTACCAGTTCTTTCCCTAAATTTTAGTTAATAATAAGACCCATTCAATTCTTCAATCTACTTCTTTATTTCCCAGAATGTAAATCTTTTATTTTTTGGACAACTATCCTTGATCAGAAGGTGGGTTACACATGTTATTTAGTGTATTAAAAAAGGTGCTAAGATTTTATTTGTAAAACAGAAGTGAATCTAATTTCTAATTGCTTCTACCTGTAAAATTTTTCTTTAACTTTTCTAGAAAGTTTTTTACTTAAGATTTTACAAGTACTTTAGTAAAATCTTATTTCTTAAATTTTTTAATTGATTTTTAACAAAAAACCTCTGTGATAAAAGGAAACAATTATTTTTACTTTAAAAAATTAATATTTCTTGAAATATTCAATAAAGCAATTTTTTTTTCTGAATCTTTACTTTGGAAGTAAAAATTTCAAAGGATCACTGTTAGGACCAACAAATTTTTGGCAAGTGATCATGTAATGTCAGCTCTTTAAATGAATTATGCTGTTAAATTAAAAATTATATAAATTTTATACATTAATCCATTTGTTACAATACACTATTAGTAAATTTATACATTAAAATCAATATTTTACATTTCAATAGTCTATATCTTTGCAATATATTACAAAAATTTTTCTTGTCTGCATTGTTCTTGCATGTGACAAACCAACATAGTTAAATTCAATGCAATTTTATGTTGAGATTAATACTACACACAAATTATTTGAAAGAGGAATAAAATTTGTAAAACCAAATTTGAAATATAATCAACAAAAGTTTTAAGACATATACAAACATTGGCTGCAAAAGTGTGACAATCTTGAAAAATCATTATGCGCACTGCAGTGGATTATCCAGCCTATTCATCTGACTCCCTCAAAATTTCTGGCTTTTTCAAAAAATAAAAACTACCATAAAAGAATAAAGATTTTTGTATGTTTCTGATATCTAGCATCATATAACAAAGGAACTTATGAGTATTCCAGAAACAGAATTATAGGTATTTTTCCAGCAATGGCAACAGCATATAACCAAATACATAACTTTGGAAGGGTTCTTTGAAGATGACAACAATTGCTAATTCACATGTACACACACATTTTCTACAGGTGCATTCTAAGAATTAAATTGTTATAGCTTGTATAATATACTGTATAAAATTTGTGTATTTGTAATTGTTAACTTATCCCTGCTTCATGGATTGTATTTTTGGTGTAATTCATGATGCAAGGATAAGTCAAATACATGTCATATCTATATACACCTATACTTTTTTTCTTCTTTAGAAGAAAAAGTAAAGGATTTGACAGTAGTTTTTGTATTAGCTGGTTCACAGAAAATTAATATTAAGTATTCCTGTTACCTGCTGATGCTGTGGCTATTACTGGTAAACCACAACGTGCTGTACTGACTTCCCATACACCATCTCTATGTCCAAGATATTCAGACACTTGGTGACAGCTAATTGTTGGAGCTTTGAAAGTGGATACAATTCGACTAGTGGAAGCTTTCAACCTGTAAGTGCTTTTGATCTTTTGAGATAATTGGCTTGCTGTAAAATGTTTAAAAATTTGAATTAATAACATTGCAACTTGTTTCAACATTCTAAAAAGTTATCTTAAAATTTACTGTTAAAGTAGTTTAAAATAGAATGAGAGAATGTCAACTGTCAAACATGCATAAATATTATTTCCAGAACAAAAAATTTTTTATTCTGTGTAATGCTCTGACTATATTTAATATCTAATATAATATAAGCATGCAATTAATAAAAAAATCTTAAATTTTAATTTTTGAATTTTTCAATTTTTAATTATAAATTATTACTTATGTTATTTAACACAAAATGTTAGGTACCTGTCAAGGATTCTCTCTTTCCTTTAGTTTTACCACTCGTGGGTTCTCCGCTATCCACATAATCGATGGGGCGTTCTGACGAAAGATTTGTTTCTCTTTCCAATTGTTCATTCAATGAATCAATCTTTTCTTTCACTAGAATTTAAGCCCATAATATATTACATCAACTCTAAATAGATATTCTCACTTTTTTATGTAATTTATAATATAGATATTAAAAGCTTGATCCTTATGTAAAATCAATTCTATAGAACAAATAGGAATTTTATTTTGTAAACAGAATTTAGTAAGATTGTTTTGTATTATTGTGACTTTCAAAAGTTCAAAAAGTAATTCAGGAAAGTTTGAACGTTATTTATTACTAAAGCTAGGAGATAAGATAATTTCTTTTCTACAGATTAATTTAGAAAAAGAGCTTATAGTTTATCATAACAACATTGTAATGCAAAAATGACATTAAAATACATACATAAAATATATACAGATGCCCCAGCATATGAAATTTTCAGGATACAACATGAAATTCAAACATATTTTTGTTCCACGATACGAACAAAAACTCACCATACAACATTACATTAGTTTGCAGCACCATTTTTTATTCACTTATGTTCATCGGTCTCAGTCCGTGTGTTTGCTTCGTCGTGGAAGGATCTCGCTTGATAAAGGAAATCTTGAGNGAATCAATTAATTTTATGGAAGAAACCTTTCAAATAGCCGTAGTCTGTAAACTGCATACGTGCCGGGCTGTGATTGGCTCATATATTTAAGGACTCATAGAAAATGGATTCATAAAAACCGGAATGTATCTATCATGTTATGAGGGGGGGGGGTCGACTGTATTTTATACCTACTGTTTTTTTATTGTTTATGTTTACTGAAAGAAAATGAAGTTTGTTTCTTGAGTATTTGTTTTTGTGCTTTATATTTTTATGATATTGTGCTTATTCATGTTCATTGTACAAGAAAAACATTAGAAAAGGCAAATTTTACTTATTTTTCATATTTTATGGGAGAAAAAATTAAATCCTTATTAGTATTCTATCATAAAAAAATTTAGTGCCATTTCAGAGACCATGCTCTAACTATTTCCATTACATTTACATGGTTAGTGTTTTACTCCAAAGTAACACAGCTCAAATTCTAACATGTAGTGTGTGTTGCATTTCTGCAATTCATCCAGGCACTTAATATATGTTAATCTAGGCACTTGATGTGTTAATGTAAACATTTTAAACTGATTTTAAGTGTTTATATTTTAGACAAATATTTTTTTATTTTTAAAGGAAATTTTTAAATTATTATGGCAACCATATTAGCCTAAAAAAGTTTTTTGTGAAAAGCTGTATTCCAGAACAGTAAAAGTGAATAAATGGTAACAGCTTTTCTGACAGACTTGGTCTTAAATTTTAATTTAAGCTTAATTACCATATGGCAAAAAAAGTTAAAAAATTGAAAATTTTCACTTTTAGTTCAATCTCATTGTTTTTCCTGAGCTTTTAGTAAAATATGTCCCATAAATGACCAAACTCTTTGTTAAATTATTTTTGCAAAAAACAATGAACCAAAGAGGTTATTTATTATTATTGAACCTATTGAAATAAATAAATGTTTGGAAGATTTTTGTTGTTGTTTTCTTTTATTTATTTAGTCAAAACAAGGATGCAGTTTCCAAATAAATCCGATATAACTATGATGACTAAGTCTAAAAACCTGCACAATGAACTGATGAAATGTTGACAGGAACAGATAACCAACCAAATTACAACCAGTTGTATTTTACACAAAATTCATCCTTGAGATGTGATGTTTTTGAATAAGATATTGGAAACAAGTATCCCCAATGCATATAAATCCATCTAGTGTCCCCTGGAAAAAGAACTATGTTTCTAAGGACTTTCCATTATTCCAATAACGATGATGCAGCTTTCTGTAAAGCATGTTTCTTGCTATCTAAAAAGACTGCTGGTGTCAGTTCTTAATCCCTCAAGGACTTGTAAATGAACCATATAGAAACTGGGAGAAACACTATTATTTCAAGAGGCAAGAATTAACTGTTTAACATAGCAGCATAATGGAATTGAAAATTTCAAAAGAATTAGTGAAGCAAAAATGTTACCTACTGCAGTTTTATTTATTTCTATACAAGGAGTAATTTAAGAAGATAAACTGATTTTGATGGAAAAAACTTAAATTTTATTTCCATTAGCTTAAATAAGATTAATACTTTAGAAAAAGCTAGCAGACCCCGCCACATGTTGTTGTGGCTCAACATGTATCTATTATAAATTTATAACACTTCCCCCGTGGGGGAAGGGAATTTTTCGAAAAATTTCTTCTTAGTGTACATTCTCTTGACTTACCCTATTAAAACGCAAAAACCCGCATCTAAAATAGTATAATAGAAGCCAAGTTCTTCACGGTAAGCCTTAATCCTGTCTCTCTCCCCCGCCAGGGGAATATCGAAAAATTTCTTCTTAGTGTACATTCTGTTGACGTACCCTATTAAAGCGCAATCAAAAATGCAAAAACCCACATCTAAAATAGTATAAATAGAAGCAAGAGTTCTTTACTGTAAGCCTTAATCCTAACCATCTCCCTTCAGTGGGGTTGAATTTCGACAGGTATAATATATAAAAACACGCGCGTATTCAAATGCAGCATTGTGTCAAAATTTCAAAGGAATTGGTAGGAACAAACGAACATTACATTTTTATTTATATAAATAGATAGAAGATGATCCGCTTTAGTTCATTTTCACAGAAAAGCAAACTTAGGGCATCGTACTCGTAGCGCCATCTGTTGGACATAAAAGCCTTAACCTAGATTATATCTTTTAATTTATATGAATGTTTAACGGAATAATATACAGCCTATGTCCACCCTGAGGTTCCATTCTAAATATCGGTGAAAGAATTTTTGAAATTGGATGAGTAGTTTCGGAGATTACCTGCTGCATACAAACTTACATACATACAAACATTACCTCTTTATAATATTAGTATAGATATAGATTATAGGTTTTGGTTATTTGCAGTTTTTTTTACAAAAGACTAATACAGTAAGACGGGCCACCATTTTGCCATTGGAGGCAGCTGTATTATCCAAGGACAAAATGCTTATATGATAATGAATACACAGGATCATATAAAAATAGCCTCAATATAGTAAAAATATGAGAAACATGCTTACCACTGATATACTGTAATGTGACAATGCTGAAGGGCCCCCCTCTATGCTTCGGCACCACAGGACCGAAGGGTTGACATTGCGTCGGCAAAGACTGCAATGACAAATTTATCAGGACTGTCACCACTGTGTCTTCTGAGTAGACACAGAGACCATTACGTTCGCATTTACGCGTGAGCAGTCACATCTGCGGGCACTTGGACTCGGGATGGAGACTGCTTGAGGAAGTGCACCCAACACAATTCTAACAACAACAAAATTCATTTATTAAACTAGTTCTACAAAAGGGTATTTACCTTAAAGTTTCTTTGCGAGAACTGAGTTGGAGAGAGAGCTTACATAACATCGCGGGTCGTTATAAATACCTGAAGCACTACATATGGATTTCCAGATGTCTGTGGAGTTGTTGAGGAGCCTTGGGAATGTCTCTGTTGCCTTGGATGGCTGTTAAAGTCTATCAAAAGTTGAGATCTGTTAGTTCTTCGTACGTGTTCCCGGAGAAACACTGGATATTCGGGAGGAGCGCGCAGTGATGAGCGATGATGGTAAATCCTTTCGGCTGGCACACACGGAATATTCTCACGGACTCTCGACCCCTCTCACTGTTCCTTCAGGTCTCCTCTTTATTTCCAAGTCACGTTGTTGTTTTCCACCAATAGTGAATTTTTTGTTGTAGTTCCCAGTGACACATTCTGAGTTTCCTGGGAAAGGAAACGACTCCGGGAAGAGAATTATACTCATCCTCCGGTAATAAAATGGTAAAGGTTTTTTTTTCCTCTGAGTTTTAAATAAATTTCCTTTTCAAAATGAAAAATGAATTTTCTTTCAAAAAATTCCCAAATAAAATTGTGAGGTTTTTTTTGAAGTCCGACCTCTCACAGTAATCATCCATTAGCTTGTTTTTATACACTACAAATGACTATCATTCATTAAAGCTATTCATACAGGAACTCACAAAAAAAGAAATTGTAAAATTTTCCCAACAAACAAAGAAAGATGTTTTGTTTGTGAGGTAACTCATCTAAGAAGTAATATTAATGCTACAATATTTTTCTCATTGCTGGAGAGTCATTAAAACAACTTAAAAACACTGTTTTCAATATAGTCTCAGGAAAGAATCTTTTTACAAATAATAAAAACTGTAAGTGTAATCTATCTTGTTAATTATGACTACTTGTCATTTTTACACCTATTATTTTATAATAATTTATTATTTATATTTTATTTTTGTTGGGAAAAGCATATAAAATTACTTTGATACTTTATTTGTTCAATGTTTTATCTTAATTACAGGTAACATTAGTTAAACCTAGGCCATATAAAATGAGATACATTAAAATTAAAGAATGATTTTGTAGCTTAAAAGATTCTCTAACACAATTTTAAGAAGTCATTTTATATTCTTGCAAATAAGATATGGTGAAGTGGGATAAAATGAAGTTGTCAATTAGAATAAAAATAATTAAGTTATTATATACTTCTATGAAAATTCTGTTATTGTTTATAAAATTAAAAATATTACCATCTCCAATGCGATCATCTTCAGAAAGCTCCAAGTCTTCTTCAGGAGATTGGCATCTCTAAAACAATATATTTATTAATGAAATAGAACTAAGCCAAATTTAGTAAGAAAGAAATTGTATTAACACGTTCACAGCATTACGAGGCACATGTGACTCATATGAACGTGTCTAGTTAGGACTACAGACATACAGTAAACCCCCCTATAACGCGAGTTCCTATAACGGAGATTCCTATAATGTGGTGAAAAAACTGTGACAGATTCCTATAATGTGGCGAAAAATTCCTATAAAGACGCTAAAAGGGACTCGTAAAACATCATCGCCAGCTCATGTCACGACAGGATTGGTCGAATCTGGACCAATAGTAGACGAGCAACCGAACTACTTACACACTACAGAGAGATTAGGCAAATAAGTTGAGTT